ACGCCGAAATGCCAAGAAAATATGTATCTAATACTTACACATACACTTAAAAGGAAATTCTCTTATCATAACCATATTTACAACATATGCCATGCGAACTTATCAATTACGCGCACAATAAGAATTGTTTTTATTGTCTTTGGACGGGCAGTCAATCAGTTATCGTTTTTTTTATATATGTATATACCATATATAAACATACATATTCTGGTGTTTCATGTCTGTTCTTATCAAGCCCGGTAATTAACGTGTTCTATTTATAGATATCGTCTTGTAGCAGAGCTCTACGTTTGAGACACTCTATCAATTGAATCATCAATTGACTTTTCAGTTGTTGTAGTTGTCGTCGCTGTCGGACTCGAACTCGGACCCGTCTGGGGAACGAGAGCGAGCGCACAAAGAGATTATCAAGCTGCAAAATCAACAGTAGCTGCCGTCGAGCTACTGTCTCTCATCTGAGTATTGCGGCAGTATAAAGGCAGCTCGGCTGCGGCGGCGACTCTGGCAGCATCTGTTGTTGATTGTTATTTTTTGCTGTTGATTTAATAAATTAAAACCCGTAAATTAACTGTGAAGGCAAAACGACGCGCGACAAATCAAATAAATAAATAAATGGCAAGCAAAAGCTGAAGACTCTGTGGGCATTCAACAGAGCGAGAGAGAGAGGGTGAGTGACAGAGAGAGAGAGGGAGAGAGAGTGCGAGCGAATATTCGCCAATTTATGTCGCTTGACCATTAATTGAACAATTCTAAAATCATTGTACGCTTTGAACTCTTTTTCGGGTTGGCCTCAAGCCAGTTCAGAGTAGTTCGAACTGGTGGACTCTGAAAAAATGGAATTAAAAAAATAAAGGTGTTTATGTAAGAAAAAACATTCCGTTCAATCACAACACACTTAAGAAACAAATCAGTCGATTAAATCTTTTTATATTATATATTTTTTATTATTTATTTATACAAAAATAACTTTACCTAAAAAAAATGTATTTAATTTATATAGTTGTATCTGAAGAACATATAAATATAAACACATTAATGCGAAAATGTTTATCATTTTTATTCCATCTGAAAAATCTCTTGGGGTAGTAGTTACTAGGGACGAATGGGATATGGGATATTTGGTTCAGATACATTCATATATATCAGATACATATATCTGTTACCTGTACCTAGAGAAAGCACTATGCCCTTACCTATATCTATATAAATACCTACACCCTCGAGTAGAGTATCTAGTTGAGCTCTAGAGTTTGTGCGTCTTCGTTTTTTATTTTGCTAAAGAAGTGCATCTTGGCCAAGTTTATTTCTGTTAGGTCCTTTCAGTTTTCAGCTTCAACTTTCATTCCTTTTCCTGCTTATTGCGTCCCGTCGAATTTCAAAGAAACATTTGTTTGGCTTCCCACAGTCGGAATAGGAGTCGGAGTCGCAGTAACTAACATTTGGAAGCTAAGACCGAAAATTAGCACACGTGTGCTGGCTGCTCGGACGACCCAATGATAAAGCCACTAAGCCAAAGGTATGCGACCCATGGGCAATTGTATACCACATATATATACACACACACATTCATACCAGAATATATGCCCGTCAATATGCCTTCCACACCCATTCGAAGCGCTGCTGTTTATTTAGCCACAGCTGGCAGCCCGATGACGACGACTTATCAATGGTTCCCATCTGTGTTAATGATGCCCTGGCGCTCTGATAACCGTTAGGTATCTGCCCGTACCGGCACGTGTGCACTGTTGGCCCCCCGCCCATGCTTGTGTGTGTGTGTGGGGGGGCAGGATTTCGATAAGAACGGACAGCCCCCACTTGGTGTTTGTATAATATCAGCTGTGATAAAACCTTTAGTAAACTTGAGTCTATTGGGCAGTCAATCGTCAGCTTTGCTGCAAAGTCGTTAACCCCTTCTGGAAGGTAATGCAGCATGATTGATTTATCGCTAGGGTCGACCAGGGTCCATTCGCTAGCTGTTGCAGTTCACAAAGGGCCCCATAACTTAATTGAGTCGAGTACGAGTGTGGGCTGAGCACTGTTTGCATAATCAAGACAATTCACTATTCTCATATTGATCGATGGTTTTATTAGGCCTAAAATACCTTAAATAACGACTTCAATATGGGGCAAAAAATTCAATTGTTATGTTTTTCATGAAGGGAACTTAAACAACAACAAAACGATGAGGCATAGGGATTACCTGTGTTTACTTGTGCTCTAACTGGGTCTGTTCGTGTCAGATGGAAGAACCTAATGATCAGGACTTAGTTCATGAAAAACAGAAAATACTAAACCAGCTTAAAGCTTAGTTTTTACCAGCCCGAAGCAATTCGAAGATGAAATGTCCTTCTTTTTACATATAAACAGCCGAAGCTAAGCTCAAATCTAAGCCTGGACTCAAGTAAAACAAATAGACAACTTCGATTAAATTCACAACTTTCGGTACTCAGTTATAGGGAATCTCTTCTAAAAATAATTTCGATAATTTAGAAACTCTAAATAATTGTTAATGAAGCTCTTTTAAAGCGTCACACACATATATACACATTTAAAATTTAACTTAAAAAGAAAGCCCGACCAACTTTATTCGTAAATTATGGATGATTTTATCTAACTTAGGTCATTGATAGTGAAAAAGTTATCTCTGGTATTAAAAAGTATAGATAATTCGATAAGTTTTATGGCTGCTCTGTTCTTTTAAGTCACAGAGCGTCGTCGTGGAGAGCTCTACTTGAACATAAATACTTGAGTGTGGAGCATTGAAACATGTGTGACCAGGCGCCATCTAGGATACTATATGTACATATATATGCATGTAGGCTAGCCGTTATCACACCCCTCCGCCGCGTTGGGCCTCTTGTGTGGCGCTTGGGGCAATCTGAAGTGCGGCACTTCAATTCCAATTCGACAGCAGCCAATTGCAAATCGCAGATGAAACAAGAACAAGGCTCGGGGGTGCACTCCAGTTGGCAGTTTTTGTTTTGAAGACGTCCTCCTCGTGGTCCTCCTCGTCCTCGTCCTCGTCGTCGTCGTCGTTGTTGTTCATGTTGTCGCCTGTTTCTGTCAGTTTGCTTTATCCACTTGGGACACGAAGCAGCTGCAGCGAGGGGCCCGCTCGGGGGCATAAACTGGCGTACAGTGCAGCTTTTATTTTATTTTTTTGTTGTTTGTTGTTGCTGTTGGTGGCTCCAGAGGCTCTTCACATATCCTGCGCAGAAATTGAAAAACTACAAGAGCTAACTTCAATTGAGACGTGCTCTGACCTGTCCGAGCCACGATTGAAATTCCAAGCACTGCTCGTGGCACTTCCCCCCCCAAGGGACAATCCGATAAACACTTGAATACAAAGCCATTTGATGAACGACGCCAACTCGTAGGCTCTCTGCTCGCATTACAGCTAATTACGTGGACGAGCACCCGGACGAGCACATCGACTGAGGCGCAACGAAATCAATAACGAAATTGCGTTACGCCTTTCAGTAAGGCCCATTTGGCCCATTTGGTTATATGCCATATACTCGCACCGGATAGTGTTAGTCTTAATTACAGATGAAGACGCGCCGCGATAAGGCACCAGGGCGGAGGCTGTGTGCCGCCAAAGGAAAACAAACAAATATTTACTGTGCGCACTCGCATTTAATTGCCCGGTGGTCGGTCAGGCCTCTCGACCCGACCGATGACCACAAGCCTGCGTTTGAGAGAGACGCGGCATATGGCGCTGAAACGTGAGTAGCTCACGTTTGGTTGATTGCCACGTGAGTTGAACTGGACAGCCGGTACGCTTTCCATGCAGAGATCAGCTGGCCAAAATGTTCATTATGAGCCTGTGGAAAGGCCCGAGTGTCTGTTACGGGCAAAATTTGCAGACTCCGGGCGGGTTGGACACGCATCTCTCAGCCTGCGATTGGGTGTTGAATTACTATACCTACTGCACAAATGGTTTCGTGCCATGTTCAGCTGTCTGGCTAACCGCATGACGGCACGAATCTATCGTTGGCTAGAGACTCCAATCTATGTTTGCTCACATGCGCGTCTGATGATGTTTAAGAGTGAGACCTCCATTAAACATTGCTCATGTACGCCTCGGCTTACGGCTGAATTCAGTAATTAATTCGTTCAAATTTATGTTATGTAAATTCAAACCGTGTTTCTGTTTGCCATAATATTTTCACCAACTTATCAATTATCTATTCTCACATCTCATATTTCAATACAGTTCCTTTAGCAGTCAATCATAAAACTAAGCAAAGAGGTTGCTGATTCAAATCGTGAGGTTTCGTATAACGTATATATACGTACACACATTCTTGATTTTTGTTTTATAATTTTTTTTTTTAAATAATAATTGTTATTTCTCTTAAAATATATTAAAGTAATATTAAATTATATATTCATATTTATATAAATTAATTGTTATTATATTAATTATTATTAACAATTTTTCAAAATAGTTTCTTTAAGCCAACATTTATTTGTAATACTACTTAGTTCAACTACAAATTGTTCTATTTGTTATTGTGGTTCATTTCGGTTACATCCCTTTCTTACGTTCAAATGTAGGAATTGTTCATGAGATATTTGAAAAAGATTTACTGAGACAATTACGATTACGCTTCAACACCTTCTTTTATACTTTGTTCCATTATCACATATCCAACATTCAAACATGACGCAATAAGGACGGTTACATTCGGCTGGGTTGGGTTCGTTGGCAAGGATGGTTCTTCCTGTTCTTATTTGTTGTGTTTGCTTTTTATTTACATGCGGCGCAAGTAATTTTTATATTTGCACAATAAATGTGGCGGCCTAATTGAGTTAGAGGCGTTTCGTGTGTGTAAATACAGCAAAGTGACAAGAACCCTTGAGCAGCCCACACACAAAGACACACACTGCATTTGTGCACACTCTTTTGTTTGTCTTGCTGCCTTACAGCAAAAGCAAAAGCAAGGACAAGAACAAGAAAAATATTGTTAAAAATTACGCATTTCTTACAAGAAAAGTAAACGAAAATGTATTTAGGTTAACTTGGAAATCACTTAAGCTGATTATATCTAATGCCAATTTATGCATTTTAAAAAGTTATCCAAAATCTGATTCCCAGATCGATTATTCCCGAATGAGACGCTATGTGAACTCACATTTCTGTATATTTGGGCGTGTATAATCAGTGCATCTTAATTAAGTAAGATGACATTGGTTCTGGGTGTTCCACCAGGCGATACCCGGGCTTAAATTATGCCTTAGAAACTAGAACCTAGTCTTATATTGTGAATAAAATATAGATAGTGAAAGCCTTATATTCGCTTTTGTACCCATTTGGCACAGGGTATATAAATATATGGGATAACTTAACTTATCTACCGGGTATTCGAATCCTTAAACTTGACAGCGAAGAACTTAGATTACAAAGTGGAGGACGAAATAGCAGATCCCATCTTAATGGATTCAGAAAGCCGAGACTATATACAAAATGTGTCAAGCTGGCAACTCTTTTAAAGAATTTGCAAATTGGATTCATAGAAAATTAGCTAAGAAAAAGTCAAAAAAAACTAAATTGAGTTAATCAAAGCTTAACTTAAAAGCGTATCAAATGCATGGCGCAGCGTAACATTGCTGCTGTCAACGGCTTCTGCAGCAATAGGCTCACAATGAGCTGAAGTGCCAATGGAACGACGTATTTGGTTGGCTAATGCGCACAAGATCCGTTTGGTGCTCCATGTGGCGGCCAGTGTGAATCTTGGCTATGCGCTGTACTACGACTACATGTATGTGGAGCTACCGGCGCTGGCCGTGGAGCTGCGGCTGGAACCACCCATGGGTGGAAAGTTCAAGTACCTGACCTTTCTAACAGGATTGCTGCAAACCGGATACTATATGCTAGCGCTGGGACAGGATTTGTGCCATCTGCGTACACTGCGACAATTGCGGGACTATCTGCTGGCCAGCTTTGTGGTGCCGCTGGCATTGACGGTGAGCGTGACCTTCTGGACGCTGTGCGCCATAAATCGCGAATCGATCTATCCGCCGTTCCTCGATGAGGTCTATCCCAAGTGGCTTAACCGGACCATGCACTGCTATGTGGTGATCTATGCGCTGCTGGAACTCTGCACTACAGCACATCGTTATCCGAAACGGGGCAAGGGATACGCTGGACTGGCTGCAGTCATGGGCTGCTATCTGATTTGGATGCATCTGGTGCATTACTGGACCGGCATCTGGATCTATCCCTTTCTGGACGCACTGTTCGGTCCGCTGCGCCTGTGCTTCTTTGCCCTGATCGTGGGACTGTCCTTTGTCTACTACAGGCTCGGCGAGCACATCAACTGTGTGCTCTGGGCCAATGGGCGCTAAGGACTAGAATTCGCCCAACGTAATAAAGCAATTTCCGCTTCTCCAATTCACGTTGACTGCTCGGCAGAGTTGGGGGTTGGCTAGGTGTAAAATTTGCATAGAAATGCGCTCGAGTCGCGCTGCTCGAGGGCCAACGGAAATTGAAGGCAATAATAATGACAATTGACTTGTCAAAATGTTGCGAGTACGAGTTAAAAAAAATAAAAAAAAACCAAACCCAAGCCGAAACGGACCGAGCCGGACTGCGTTGCCAAGGGTTGGCCTCAAGCAGCGAATGCATTTCGTCAGGGTTTGAGGTTTTTCTTCATTTCTTTCCTTTGCGGTCGTCGAAGCGTGGAATTAACTCAAATCGATTCGTTGCACTCGTCAAGGGGACGTGGCTACCGTTAGGGTTATAAGCGTAGCATCCACTTAAAGGTTTTCAGTTTTTCAACAGTTATAGTCGAAGAAAAGGTTTCAGACTTGGCCATGACAAGTGTATTATAATTTTACAGTTTGTTCCCAGTGCTCTTGCCAAGGTTTTGTTGAGGGGTGAGTTTAATAGAGGATATATAATCTGTTAAATGTTAAAATGGTTGCTACATAAAATTAATTCCTAAGTGTGGTAGAAAATTCGCTAGACTCGAAAAGTGCCGGGTATGAAATCAAAGAGTTGCATAAGGATGAGTAAATATTATACGAAAATCCCTTGATGTAAAAGGATATCCCAGTACGCGGCATATGAGCTGCCTAAGTGGCTCCTAAGTGTCACTCATGCAGCCCAGATGGGAAGATCATCGGTTCATATCTTCACTAATGTTCTTACGTAGTCGAGTTGTAGAGAAATAGAGTAGTAGAAAGTGGACATAGTTGATCACATGGTTATAATAATACAAACGAGCTGCCTCACACATCGAGCTATATTTAGCTGGTGATAATTGCAATTCGGTGCTCGATAGTTAAGCCCAAGCCGAATCGATTAGCGATCCCAGCGAATGCATTGCCCATGCGTGCACCAATATCTTCGATGGGTAGCCACCCCTTTGCGAATGCCAATGTCAATTCGGATCGGATGCCCAATTCCGTTTCTGTTTTAGATACATAAATCATCGGCCGGCAGCTGTTTGGGTCACGTGTAGAGAGGCCAGCTAAATGGCGACATTCAGCTGCGAATTGCTGAGAAACAGCTGAAAAACTGCAAAAGGATACCGAACATGAGTCAGTCAATCCTTTCAGCTGGGCCCATGCTTCGGCTGGGTTTTCCATGAAAAATGGAAAACATGCTGCGCACCCACACGCGGCACTTGTGCTAAAAATATTTCAATATTGAATGGGAACAGCTGAACTGCGTGCACACACACACGCACACACACATAAGGTCGCATGCCTGGGATTTGTTTATTGTAGGCCGGAACCAGGCCAGAGCGTTGCCGGAAACGTGTTTCATATGTCAGAGGAAGTGATGTTAGCTGCCTGCGCCTGCGCCGCAGCGAGAGCTCATTTGTGAATGGGCCAGGACTCGAGCTGCTCAGGTACTCGAGCTGCTCAGCATGCAAATGAACCGACAAAGGAGCACTGGGAACGGCATCAATTGAGTCATATGGCGCATGCCTGCCTGCCAGCCGCAGCCTGAGAGGATGTGCCAGGATCTGTGTCAGCTGTCGATCGAGTGCCGATTGCTGGCGACCCCTCTGGCAGAGCTGAGTATATTGTTCAGTTGTTCCACGCACGATTGATTCAATTGGCCCCTCCTCTGCATATATCATCGAGTCGAGTCGCTGTGGTCTTGTATGGCATTTAGCTTTTTCGATTTCTCCCTCCCCCTTTGTATAATTTGTGCAAATATTTTGTGAGCCGCTGGCAAACAATGGGATTCAACTTTTGTCTTCCTGCCCGCCGCACACAAATTGTCAATTTGTCACCCGCGTGAATTGCCGGGCCCGGAATGCAGAAACAGTTACAACAGTTGCCACAGCCCGACGCGAGTATCTTTCATCCATTGTGCCGGAAAATTGTTTATTTATTGTTATTCAGCGTCGTCGTCGTCCGCTCTCACAATGCAATTTCACGTTTAATTGCGTGCGTCTGTTCTCCCAAACGATTTTATAACTCTGAACAGACCCAGCAAATATGCAGGCTGTTTGTTTTACCAAACACACGCAGGTAACAATTTTAATGACACGAACACACAATTCCCAGACAAGCTCGCGGGCCGGCCTCGGCGAATCCCGCGAGCCTGCATAAGTTAACTAGATAAGGCTATTTTTTATAGCCTGCCTCTATAGAGTATATTTATATATACCTTATGCCGGATCAGTTTGGCCAGCTGGATTGGCATTGCAATGACTGCTCGCCTATCTGCTGCCCTTCCGTAACGCTCTTCTTCCTTTCTTGACATATATATATATATTTATCAAACAGGTGGGTGTACGCTGATACAATATTATCATATATGGGCACAGAATAGTTGTTCGTCTCCAAAGACACATGGCTTGACTTTATTTTATTACACAATTCTGTTTGCATTATTGATCTGTATAAAATTACGAGTCCATATATGCAAGTCTATATGTTTCTGCGCTATTCTTCTCTCAGCTTAGCTGTCTGATAAAACTATATCGTATAGATGCTAGAGTACATAGCTTTATTATAAAGCTTATGTGGGTATGCTCGTTAGAAAATTAAGTTCTTATTTGTTATTCAAGACATCTTGAACAAATTTTACGTTAATTGTTTCCATCATTTGCTTTATAACTATTGCACGAAAGAAAGAAAGAATCAAGAATCTAAAACCGAAAGTAACGAGCTTTCGTATGGAAATATAGTTTATGTATAATAACAATATAGTATGTTAAAGCTACTATTTTTTAACTTAATCCTTAATTTTATCAATTTGAAATTTCATTCACAGTGGAAAGTATCATTCGGCTAATAGTTGCCTGAAATTTCGAATACTTTGAATATTTTGCCGCAGTTTATTTAAAATAAGCGGAAATTCCATGCCAAAGATATTCAATTTTGATTTGCCTTAGCCGTATCCGTAGCCATCATCCCTGTAATCATTCTTGAAGCGGCTGCTCCTGCAACGCGTTCTGCGTCGTCGTCGTCGCCGTCGTGTCAAAAGCGATGCCCCTCCACAGTTGCCGCTCGTTGCAGCATTCCCCTCCCCGCCCATCGCATTGTCTTCATTGTCAGCATTGATTAAACTTTCTGTCTGCGCTTGTCTCGCACGACGACGCTGCTCCCCGTTGCATGCGTGAAATTTCGCCCATGTTGCACAAATTGATGTTGCATGCCACTGACGTTGTTGTTGCCATTGCCGCTGCTGCTGCCGATGCCCCTGCCTTGTCTTTTGTTGTGCTTGCTGCGCTGGTGGCATGTTCGCGAAAAGTCATGCGATTTCCTCAGACGTGCGCAATTAGGAAGGGGATATCCCGCCAGCCACTGGCTGCCGACCCCTGACAAGACGACCCTACCAGGCGAGCTGCTTTGGGGTGGGGGAACTTTTATTGTTTTAAAACTCAAGTAAAGTCAACTAAAGTATTCCACTGCGGGCGCACACTATTAACCCAATTAATGGCAAAAGTTTAGCAGCTCTGATTAGAATCAGCTGGAAACATGATGACTACAAAGCGTTACGACAGCAGGTACACATTTTGCAAAATCATGATCTCCTCCACCCAGCTCGTTGAGGTACAAATGGATTCAGGTGCTTCGTCGTGAAATTCCGGTAGATCTTTGAGCAAACGAGTGCTGCGTTCACATATTCTCTAGGCTTAATATCAGAATTATTCAAGAACTTATCGGTATTGATGGAAAAATGGCATCTTATTTCCAAAATGGATGTTGCTCAGATTTCATGTATATAAGAAGAAAGAGCGGCTATCTTTGGCATTCCGAAGATTCAATACCCTGGCTCAGAAGAGTTTTGATACGGAAGCTTAAATTGCGACAGACACAATATGGTAGTCCGATTTGAATCGGATTTGTGAGAAATTTAAAGTCAATCTTCTAAGTACTGAAATTGATTATGATAAAAAGTATTATATCCGAGAATTATGTTTGTATATAGAAGCAGCCAGACAAAGAGTCATATCGACTCGGCTGTTAATAACGATCAAGTCTATATAGTCTATACGTGCTTGGAGCTGTCTCATACTCTGCGCTAAACGTCTCATGAAATTGTCATGCCCCCTTCAAGGATATTGAAAGGATTATTTCCAAACAATATGATATATGGCATGTAGACTACAAATCCAAGAAGCGCCATTTTACGCTGTCGTTGAGCACGTTCTGAAAACGATGCGAATTTTTTGAATATATTTGTGACAAGAAAAGAAAAGAAAAATTTGTAAACATCGTCGAGAGGATGCAGAAGGCAACATGTGTTGGCCGTGTGAAGGGATTGGAGCGTGGCATATCACGATTGCGGCAATCAACAAATGGAGCGGCAACCTCATTAGTCAAAAGGAGGGAACAAAGCGCCGCAAAAAGGAATCACGACGCAAACCTCCGGCTCCGCCCACTCTCCTTCACGGTCCTCGGTCCCCAACGAGGATGTGCGGCATATGTGGCCACATTAGTCAGTGGGTCGCTGAGTGGGTGAGCATGAGCATTCACTTACAGATACCCACCCACACACACACACACACACACACGCACACGTGCGTGCTCGCGAAATGGTCTCGTTGGGGTAAACGCAGCGGAAATTGTAAATTTTTTACTCGCAAACGAAAAAAATAAATCATATGCGTGAAATGTTTGCAATGCCTCCGACTTTAACTCCTCGATGGGGCACAACGGGATAATGGGACGACAGCAGGTGCACAGTGGTTCACAGTATTGTTATAAAGCAAAACAATCTGAGCTCTCAGTTCGGATCTTTTCTTATCATAATCATAATTTAGTACCTTAACAACACATAGATGGGAAATGTTATTAAGAGCCGAACCCCATAACGCAGTATGAGGATTTTAATCTCTTCTTAGTTCACTATTTTTGTACATTTAGCTAGCATTTGTTACAGGAAATCGTACTCTAAAAAGTATGCTACAAAAATGCACAGAATACTAAATAGGGCAGGAAATGCTTACAAAACTAAGTTTGTGTGTAAAAAGATACATTCATATGGTGAATTTACCAGTTTTGAATTCGTTTTTAATCAATTTTAGACCACGGTGCTGGCCACTCTATGCCCATCAACCGAACATAAGCCCGC